GTACCTGTTTTGTCGCCGGGATTTTTGGTTCGTGTCTTGTTACGTTGATAAATTCTCTTGTTCCGTACGAGTGGTCACCCCAATGCACTGGGTTAACGAGTGCTCATATCTTGCATAGGACTTACAGCCAAAGAGATAATCATGACCCCACAAAATCAACCATACCGCTGTTTTCCACTTCACAATTGTCTTGCATCTAAGAACATTACGGTTGTTCCAAAGAAGGGGTGCCCTTCGCCTAAGGAAAGAGTACCCCCAAAATAATCTGATTCACTGCGTTGCTTGAGTGATGCACGAAATTTCAATTGCAAGGCCGGAAAGGAGCCGTACCAAGACTCGAGATTGGGAGTCGCACTGACACCTCCGCTTCGTACATGCCAATGATGTACGATGTTCCCTATGCATAGGTGTATCAGAATGAGAAAGTTTCCTTCAGTTTTTCAGGTCGGAAGTTCGACGTTATTGCAATCAATGATGCGAAAGGGATTTTTGCCCGGCCGCACCGTTTCAAACTCTGGAGGCTGTGAGATTGATCAAGAGCGTTCTGGAACCTACAGGGTGATTGGGTGTACTGAGCGTGGCTTCTCTTTAATCAAAGTGGTTCAGGTACACTGGTGCTTTACGTGGATCACATAACAGATGCAGACAAATACAGGTGGAAAGCGGTGCGTTGCTATGTTTTGCTGTACGTAGGCTTATGCTAGTGGGAAACGAAATCGGGTATAAAGCATACTAAAAGGGAAGACGCCGTAAGGACACGCGACGTCAGTGCAGATACCGTACGCTTGTAACGAAGCGCAAGCGCAATCAAAATGTCGTTGCTTTGATGATTAACCATGAAGTGCTCGCTTGCTATGATGTTATTGTGCTCGCTTTTTATTATAGCACATTATTATAGTAGTTAATTTAGTGGACCCTCACCAGATGGGTTCAGACCCGTTTTGGATTTCGTTTCAGGAAGCATTCGTTAGAGTTCGAAAACTTTCATTTGTAGATGTTTCTTGAATGTGAGGTTGTTCTGTTACATGTGCATGCTTAAATTATTTTCCTTCTAAGCATATCACGGCTTTGCTATGTGATGAACGTCACGTTTCGCCCTGACAGTATTAAGATTTTCTGTTGTTTTTCTGTCCCAACTTCTTTGTTGGTCTTGCGGAATACCCATACTCACTAATATGGTACCAGAATGAGAAGCGAGCACTATCACATCATAATATCAAGGGAGCACAACATGGTGAATCATCGAACAAGCGGCATTGTGAGCCATCGCACACTTGCGCTCCATTACAAGCATACAATACTTGCACGTCGGTGCACGCGACGTCGCGTGGCCCTACCGACACATATGCCACTGTGAGTGCTGTTTTTACAGCGGAAGCCAAAAACTAAGTCACGGTAAAGATCCCAAATTTGAGTTTGTGCGCGGGACGCACCGCCAGCGAATGGGCGTGCAACTGGTAGCATCACTAGAGACTTCACATAACTGTCATATGTATTTTGTTCAGACAATTTTGGAACAATTTTGGAGAGTGTTGCGAGACTTTCTTCCAGCCTAATAATTTTGGCCGACTGCCGAATCACTATACTGCGCACTGCATTCATGCGCAAGGGAAGCGGCCTAGATTTCATGCGATTGCGCCATAATAAAATATCTGTCCGGTCCGGTTCCAAATAAAGTATGTAGCCACACCCTCTCCAGACACACAAGAGATACGAACACACAAATCCCCTTCATACAACGTTTGAGAACGACGAGCTGTAAGTGAGGATTCACTCAGTATGAGCTCTCACATTGATACTTCCCGAATCACATTGGTGTTCAAGAGTGATTCGGCCTCTCTGCGGCGACGGAACAAGCTCACCACGTGTACTCTGCGCTAACATAGCCCCGTTAGAGCCCGACTAGGTATTAAAAAAATCGTTCAACACAACTTCTGCAAATCCTGCCATATTTCAGATTTCCATGAACTACAGAGCAGTCTTTCCGACGTGTGCAATGATGGACTTTGATTCTAAGGGATCGGTAAGCTGCGTTTTGACGAAACCAATCCATTGCTGTTGTTGTCGAATTTTGCAGTTCCTCATCCGACAAAAATGCTGGACAACTTGTGGCGCTAAGATATTAGGTTGTTCGGAAAGGAATGCGCGTTGACTTTGTCTATTTATTTCTCTTCTACTATAGGAGATTTTTCAAAACAGTTTTGTCCATTAGAAAGAGGTTTTTATTGCGCATCTTTTGAAAAATCTCCTATAGTAGAAGAAAAATAAATAGACAAAGTCAACGCGCATTCCTTTCCGAACAACCTAATAGTATTGAAGTTCTTCTTGACCTTCCTTCGCTACCATCTGAAAATGGCCACCATGCGTTGTATACAACG